TATACAGAATGATATTGATAAAGCAGTAGAAGCTGCTCGAAAAGCATCTTGAGGGTGTGGGTGTGGGTGTGGGTGTGGGTGTGGGTGGGTGTGGGTGTGTGGGTGTGGGTGTGGGTGTGGGTGTGGGTGTGGGTGTGGGTGGGTGTGAAATTGGGTGTGGGTGGGTGGGTGGGTGTGAACTATTCTTCTCATTCATTCCTGATACCCACACCCACACCCACACCGCCCTAGTTTTATCTTCACTATACTTTGACGAGGTCGGTAGAAAATGCACTACTATTTATAAATTTTAGATAAACTTTTATTGATAGATACATAGACACAGAATTGAGAAAGATATATGTGCTTATATACAAAGAACGATAGTAATAGAAAAATGCAGTAATATATATGATATGAAAAGAAAACATTCATATGTATTTCGTATATATTTATTATCAATTAAAAGAAATAATTAACTGACTACATACTATTTTTCATATGAAAATAAAAACAAAATGTGATATTTTCATTTATTTAAAAAAACAAAAATTCTTGTCAGACTGTAAATGAACATTATGAGAGAAAACATGTACATATTTCAGATATAAAAATGAAAAAAAAACAGCTATTATAGACTTACGTCAGTGATAATAATAATATCGGTATGAAACTATCATCCTCAAGTGACCTCTTCAATTATCTCATAAATTCTAATGTTTAATCGGTAAATTTCAGCTAGAAATAGCGAGAGTGTATATCAATTGAATTAATAAAAAATTTAATCTTAATTCCTATTGATTAGATTATTTATTTAACTAATTTTTCATTAAATCTCATAATCCATATCAATCAAAATGAGTCGCATAGACAGTGTTGACAATGAAAAATGTGAATTTGTGTATAGTTAGTTTATCTCAGCCAATAGTAAAGACTATACAAATATTAAAGTAGTTTTTGTTGGATTGATATGAGATATCTCCTCGAGATTAAATATCGTTGGTTGAATATGTATCTTTTTCGAAAATAAGAGAAGCATATACAATTCTATTCAATCAGCCATGACATCATCGAGCTTTATTAGTGGAAATTTTGGTGATATCAAAGGTTTTCTATATGCATGGTTAGGTAAACAAAATAAACTTCCATCTTATGAAGTTTCTCAACAAGGTACTAAACAAAGAATTCGATTTAAATGTGAAGTAAGTTTAAACATTTTTTATTCATTTTAAAAGTTCAACTTTGTTTTATTTTTTATATAGTTAACAGTCATATCATCTATATTATAATAGACAAGATTTCAGTTCACGAACTTTCATATCAGTGGTCACAGACAGAAAAAACGAAATATACATATATATTGTCTATATTATAATTTACAAGTTTTCTTCAGAAACTGTTTTCTTATCTAAATATTTCACGTATGTTCCACACTATAAACTTGAACACAAGTATTCAACTATGCATTTGTGAGAACGTGACAGTGGGGGATAGAGAGTACAAGAGTAAAAGGTTAAGGAGGGCATTAGTGCAGGTAAAGGGAAGAGAGATACTAGCATAGTTGAATAGTTACATACTTGAAACGAATACTTGACTTTAACTTTCAAGTTTGACGCTACTGACTTTTTCTTCAGTCAGTTTTTGCTATAATATGAAATTCTAACTCTTCACAGGGACCTCTAGTATTCATATACTGCTATAGGAAATTCAACAAATAAAAAAGATGCACAAACAAATGCTGCAATAGATTTTTGTCAATATCTGGTTTGTTAAAATTTCTTTGAAATTGTTGTAATTGAATTAGTTCATATAGGTTCGTGAAGGAAAAATGTCACAAAATGAACTTGAACCATATTTAGTAGATAAATGTATTTGTAAATTATTTTTAAAAAAAATATTTATAAAGCCATCAAAAAATTCATCAGTTCTTACAACACAAACACTTGGAACATTACCTGCTGGTCTTGTACCACCACATATGCTTCAACATAATACTACAACAAGTTCATTCTTTATCTAAATTTGATTCATTTCAATAACATTTTTCTCATATAGATGATGCTATTTCACCACCTGCTCTTCTTCCATATCAACCAGGACCACCATCTCATTATCTCGAACAAATTCATTCTGGTCGTAAAATGCTCGAAGAGGTTTGATCGTATTTTTTTTATAAACAAATGATTTTTCACATATAGATATTTTTCTTTAGCAAGAAGAAAGTGATACAAATGCAGCAATTCATGGAAATTGGACAATTGAAAATGCTAAAGGACGTTTACATCAATATTTACAAAAAAATAATCTTCCGCAAGAATATAAATATACAGCAAGTGGACCAGATAATCTTCGGTTTGTTTCCCATTTTTTTTTCTATACGTGAGAAAAGTGATCATTGCCATTACTTCGATATTTCAAAATTTTATAAATGAAAAAAATCTAAGAGATCAATCGATTTTGCTTTTATATCATATGAATAGACAAAATATTCTTTCATAAGCTAAATTGATTGATCGATAATTGAAAAATAAAAATTAATTCATACATGAAGAATGGCATTGATCACTTTATTTCGTCCATTATAGAGATTCTTCAATGATCCTACATATTCTAGAACATTTTTTGCTGAATTATCCATTTATATACGAGAACGTAATCAAAGTAAGTTAAAATAAAAATAAAACGTATAATGAAAATTTATTTTTCAGCAATTTATGCACGTGAAAATGGTTCAACTAAACAGATTGCTTCAAAAAGTTGTTCACTTGCACTTGTTCGACAACTTTATCATTTAAATATTATTGAAGGATATACTGGAGAAAAAAAGAAAAAACAAATTGAAAAAGTAAATTCAATTGATTTTATTTCTTACTCAGATAAATAAAAGATTGTATATAGACTACACCATTTCGTGTCAATGTTAGTAATGAAATTGTCGAAGAACTTGACCGTGTTATACAATTATTTAATATTCAACCAATTGTGGTATGGGAACAAATAAATAGTTTAATTTTGATAAATATTTTGTATATATATTTATAGATAAATGAACAACAACCAACTGGTTCATTATTAAATCCTCAAATATTAGAACGTTTTCCTTCAAGTGAACGTCGTACAATATCATCGATAATTCAATGGGTACCACCAATATCAAATTGGAATCCATGGATATCATCAAATATTGATGAAGGTCCATTAGCAACAGCTACAATGAAATCAATTAGTGAAGATTTATATCGTGCAGAACAATATAAAACAAATAATGAAATAAAATTTCGTTCTCAAGAACGTCAAAATTTACCTGTTTTTACTTATCGACAACAAATACTTGAACAAATTAAAAATCATAATGTTATTCTTATCCGTGGAGCAACTGGATGTGGAAAAACAACACAAGTAATTTCAATAGAAAATGTTATATATTTTGTTTTTAATATAGATTTTGTTTTAGATTCCTCAATATATAATTGATGATGCTATTGAAAATAATCAAGGTGCTCATTTTAATGTTGTTGTTACTCAACCACGACGAATAAGTGCTATTTCAATTGCTGAACGTGTTGCTTGGGGTTTGTTTATTTGATTATTTTATACTTAATTTTATTTGCTTTTTGTTTTCTAGAACGATGTGAAGATTTAGGTAATTCATGTGGTTATAGTGTTCGTTTTGAATCAATACTTCCACGACCATATGGTTCATTACTTTTTTGTACTGTTGGAGTACTTTTACGAAAACTTGAAAGTGGTTTAAGAGGAATATCTCATGTTATTGTTGATGAAATTCATAGGTACTTCAATTATATTTATATTCTTCTAATATTAATATAAAAAATTATTTACATTAAAAATGCACAAATAGGGGAAAAGTTTATTTTAATATTGAATTGTATATTATTATTATTTTATTTATACAGATGAACGTGATATAAATACTGATCTCTTATTGGTTTTACTTCGTGATATGTTAAATACTTATCCTCAATTGAAAGTTATTCTCATGTCTGATATGTTTAAATTAAAATGAAATATTTATTTGTTTATTTAAATTATTTAGCAACAATTGATGTAACTTTATTTCATCAATATTTTTTTAATTGTTCAATAGTTGAAATTGAAGGACGAACATTTGATGTTCGCGAATATTTTCTTGAAGCTATAATTCAATTACTTAATTTTCAACAAACAAATTCCAATTTAATAAGTCGAAAACAAAATAATAAAAATCGTCAATTACAAGATGATGATGATGATCTTGGATATGAAGATTCACAAGCTGATGATACTGAGGTTAAATTTTATTATTCTTTTTTTCAATTCTCAAAAACAATAGAATTGTAATAATAGAACATTAAGCTTTAGTATGATTAATATTATTGAATAATATAAATAGAAAACCCTGGAAACTAGAATTATAGATTCATATTTCATTAAAATAAAAGATAAAAATTCTCTAAACATTTATTTAACTTTAAAATAGATTACTTTAAACATACCAAAATAATTGAGAGATATTTGAAATAATATTGTTTTACAATTTTTTATATGAATAGTTAAACCGTATTTGAATGTTTTATTGAAATTAAAATCCGATAAAATCTATATATTTTATATAGTTTTAAAGAATGTTAATTGTAATGCAATATGTGGGAAACAATATTCACCTCAAACTGCATCAACAATGAGTCAATTAAGTGAAAAATCTCTTTCATTTGAATTAATTGAAGTAAGATAAATAAATAATTAAAAAAAACTAACTTTTAATAATATTAATTCAAGAGATTAATAACATATATATGTAGTTTGGCTGATGATGAAGCTATTCTAATATTTCTTCCTGGATGGAATTTAATTTAAGCATTATTAAAATATTTTCAACAACATCCAAGATTTGGTAAATTTAATTTCCCAAAAAAAACAAAAAATCTTTTATTTCATATTTGAAATTTTTTGAGTTCAGCTGATTTTCGATTTCTTCCATTACATTCTCAATTATCACGTAATGAACAACATCGTGCATTTGAACGTGTTCCATCTGGTGTAAAAAAAATAATTCTTTCAACAAATATAGCTGAATCAAGTGTAACAATTGATGATGTTGTTTATGTTGTTGATAGTTGTAAAGTTAAACAAAAGTTATTTTCATCACGTAATAATATGACAAATTATGTTACTGTTTGGGCATCAAAAACAAATTTAACACAACGACGTGGTCGTGCTGGTCGTACAAGATCGGGTTGTTGTTTTTATTTATGTTCAAAAGCACGTTATGAACATTTAGATAATTATTTATTACCAGAAATATTTCGTACACCATTACATGAACTTGCATTAGCAATAAAATTATTAAAATTGGGCGATATTAAAGCATTTTTATCTAAAGCTATTGAACAACCACCAATGGATGCTATTGCTGAAGCTGAATTTACACTTAAACGTAAAATTTATTTATATTAAAATAAAAAAAATAATTTGTAAAAATTTAGAAATACAAGCCATTGATGAAAATGATGAATTAACACCATTAGGAAAAATTTTAGCTCG